TACCAAATCATCTATATATAAATAACATACTTGGTTCAACACTACCAAATCATCTATATATAAATAACATACTTGGTTCAACACTACCAAATCATCTATATATAAATAACATACTTGGTTCAACACTACCAAATCATCTATATATAAATAACACACTTGGTTCAACACTACCAAATCATCCATATATATAAATAACATACTTGGTTTAACACTACCAAATCATCCATATATAAATAACACACTTGGTTCAACACTACCAAATCATCTATATATAAATAACATATTTGGTTCAATACTATCAAATAATCCATATATAAATAACACACTTGGTTCAACACTACCAAATCATCCATATATAAATAACACACTTGGTTCAACACTACCAAATCATCCATATATAAATAACATACTTGGTTCAACACTACCAAATCATCCATATATAAATAACGTACTTGGTTTAACACTACCAAATCATCTATAGATTGGTAGTGTTGAACCAAGTTGTTATTTTATATATAGATGATTTGTGGATTATATAGTTTTAAGAATAACCGATATATTCTACGAAATCTTTTGCTGTGACCACAAAGCAAATCAGTAATATATCAATACACGATCATGAAACCGTTTCTTTCTCTTCTCTCTTCTTTTTTTTTTCTTTTTGAAGAATAACATATTTTAGGAAAGTTTAACCCTTAATTATTGTAATACGTTGTTCGCACGCGATAAGAATTAGTGCACGTGCACTATTTGATTACTATAAGCCAAGAGAAGACGGTGGGTGCTGTTGTTAAGTCATCTGTCAGTTCAAATCCCATTATTCGATTACTATAAGCCAAGAGAAGACGGTGGGTGCTGTTATTAAGTCATCTGTCAGTTCAAATCCCACTATTCGATTACTATAAGCCAAGAGAAGGCGGTGGGTGCTGTTGTTAAGTCATCTGTCAGTTCAAATCCCACTATTCGATTACTATAAGCCAAGAGAAGACGGTGGGTGCTGTTGTTAAGTCATCTGTCAGTTCAAATCCCACTATTCGATTACTATAAGCCAAGAGATGACGGTGGGTGCTGTTGTTAAATCATCTGTCAGTTCAAATCCCACTATTCGATTACTATAAACCAAGAGAAGATGGTGGGTGCTGTTGTTAAGTCACCTGTCAGTTCAAATCCCACTATTCGATTACTATAAATCAAGAGAAGACGGTGGGTGCTGTTGTTAAGTCACCTGTCAGTTCAAATCCCACTATTCGATTACTATAAATCAAGAGAAGACGGTGGGTGCTGTTGTTAAGTCACCTGTCAGTTCAAATCCCACTATTCGATTACTATAAATCAAGAGAAGACGGTGGGGGCTGTTGTTAAG